AAGGAAAAATATGTATTTTACTAATTATAATTAGTAAAAAATTTAAGCGTTGCATTATTTTTGATTGCCACTGTATTTTATTAATAAATTTAATTTTTAATATATTTATTTTTAGTTATTATTATATATAATTTTAATCATTATTATAAGTTATTATTTAATATGATTAAAAAAATAAAGCAAAAATATTTATAAATTAATCAAATAATAAATTATATATTATTATTAATTATATAAAATAAATATATAATTAAATTATATAAAATTTTATATATATAATTCTTAAATTTTTAATTAATTTAATAAATTAAAAATATATAAATTATATATTTTAAATAATAATTTTAAAAATATATAAGTTAATTTAAATTATTTTATTTATTTTAAAAAAAATTAAAAAAATTATAAATTTAATTATTTATTAGCTAAAATATTTTTTATATTATTATTTATATAACAAATAAAAAATATTTATTACTAACACAAAAATTTAATATAAAAGAAACTTTCAATTTTTATAATAAATTCAGAAGTTATTTAAATATTTTTTCAGATTAATATATAAAAATTAAGTAAAAAAAAAACTTTATAAAAATCGGATTTTTGATCTAATTGTGTTTTTGTAAAAAAGAAATGATTGTAATTTAAATAAATATAAACTCAGAAAACAAAAATTAAAAGTTTTTTTTCAGATTGAAATTGTTATTTTTATCAATAAATATTTTTTGATTCCTTATCAAACTAAAGAATCTATTTGTTTTTGTTCATAGCTTTTAATTGTATTCTGAAGCTTAATATAAGTCAACTTATTTTTGTAACAAAACAACAAATTAACACACCAGCATGATATTACAAGAGCCAGAATGTTCTTATAAAGATGTTTCTGCCCAAATTGAATTATATAAAGCATGTTCAAGATAGTAATTCTAACGGTTCTTGAATGAAAGATGCAGCGAACTAAATTTTATAGAAAACGATATCTTCAATTCTCGCAAATATGTTTAAAGCTTGGATGACAAGCTATCATTTAATTTATCGATTACATTAATCTTCTATAAATTCAGAAATGTCGTATTTCGGACCTTTGAAAAAAATTAATTACTTTGTGGTGTCTTTTGAATTGATTTTGCTCTAGGATGATTTTTAGAACAGCTTGTGGGGTTAAAAGCGATGCGGCAAAATAATTAGCATAATTTTCATAATTTTTGCGGATTATTTATTCGAACTTTTTTCCAAACTTCTTGGTAACTGAGGATAAATTTGTGGATGCTTACTTTTTCATCTAATTTAGCGTTTCAAATCATTCAACATATTATATAAAAGTGGTGATATATCGTTTTTTTGTGATAAATAACATTCTAAGAAGAGAAGAAATTATAAAACGAAAGAGAAACGTGTTGCTTATTCTACATAAAGCATCGAAAATTTTAGTAAAAAGGGGCTCAATAACACACGGGAAAGCACAATATTGGGTAACAAACACAGCTACTTGGAATAATAAAGCGAATATGTGTGTCCCTTAAAACAATAACTTTTTTCTTTAGGTTAAACAGGATAAAAACTTGGTTTGATAAATTTCAGTGCGCGTCTTCTTGTGCTAGGTCACAAGTTACTCTTTCCTACCAAAAATACACACACCCACATCGTTTTTCTATTAAATTTTCTCAGAGTCATTCAATAATTTCCAAGCCAATCAGCGCTAAAGTTAGTGATTCATCACCTGATAACAAAAAATTTTTGGAAATTAGCACATGATCTTTGAAAATTTTTGAGCGCCTCAACCGGGTAATTCTGTTCGATTTATGTTCCTTTGATGTCATCACTTTCACACAAACACGAATAAATTTTTATCTGGGCATAATAATCTTTACAAAAATGATTTATTAATTACATCTTTTTCATCCAAAGCCCGTGTGGAAGAAAAATAAAGACAAATTTATAATAGAAAATAAAAAAAAATAATAAAAAAATACTGATGTATAATGTGTATAATGTATTAAATCAAGAGAGAGGGAGGTGAAAAGCGGAGATTATTTATATTGTATTTTTTCTTGGTTGAAAAGAAAAGCAAAAGAGGAAAATAAAAATAAAGAAAAATAAAATTAAAAAAAAAAGGAAATAAAAAGGGTGATATATATATATATATATATTGGTGATGGCTAGACACATACACGAGAGGAATTTTAAACATCCCGTTCATCGCATCATATCATCAACACAATAAAGGGACACTCTATGTACAAAATAGGGCAGCACGGTGTAATATTTATTCTACTTCTAAAAAAAATGTCTGTCCTAATTCCTCTGATATTTTTGCGCTTGCCGATTATTATTATTTCAAGCACTGTTTGTGCGTGTATTGTATGTAAGTAATTTAATGTAATTATGTATGTGTGTATGTGTGTTTATATATAGAAAAGGAAAAAAAAGAAGGATAAAAAAATTGGTGATGAAAAAATGAAAAATATATAATATAAAAAAAAACAGAGAAAGCATAAAGAGGAATATATGTAACAGTAGTAATAGTAATAATGAAACAAATAACGACAATGTAAAAAGAAATAAAGGCATATATAGATATATAAACTATATAGATTTATATATATATATATATATAACATAGATATATGCTAATAGATTGTTCGTAACAATGATATTATTTGGACCTCTTGCTGCAGCTTTCGCTGATGTTTGCATTAAAATATAAAAGAAGAAAGTGTAAATATACATGGGAGAAGGGGATATGTCTGGTGTTTAAATGCGTTATGTTAAATTAATGTTGTTTTATACAAGCAAGATCAACGAGGATTTGCGCAGCCTATTATGATTGTTATCAGTGAAAACGAAAGATGATCAATGTTAATATTAATTGAAGTAATACGACAAACAATCAATCAATTATTTGGTCACTATCACCATCAATATCGTTATCATTACTACGAGAACAGGAGACAATGAATGATAACGAAACTCACCTCCATCATCTGAACTTGCTGGTGCTTTGTCAAGTTAAACTTGAGGCATAATTCCCAACTTTCGTGGTGTTCCCACAAATGCTATTCGAATAAGCGAAATAAGAGAGAGGGTGAATGAACATCTCTATCGTATAATCTCAACTGACCGGGTAATATTAACGTTGTTAATTAAAGAATACCTTGACTAGACAATTTCTGTGCTTATACTTTTTACCACAATGGTTACAGGTGTATGTGGTCTTTGAGAGTGTTCCCGTCGGTGGAGGAGTTGGACTGTCCGCTCCTTTATCACTATGAGGCACTACTTGAACATTCTCTTCGTTATTTTGCGCAATTTGTTGTGGTTCGACCATTTGTAGAGGAGGATGTTGTTGATGTTCAACTTTATATAATAATGAATATATCATACGAGTTTAGCCTTCTATTACTGCGCAGAAAATAAATTTAGAAAATATTTACCTTTATATTTTCCGTATTCCTCAGAAGAAGAGTACATTCTGTAATTTTCAACAGAGTTCTCTTGTTTGATACTGATGGAACTCATTGTGTGTTTGTGAGAGTGACTGCTTGTTATATTATAGGATGAGGAGGAAAAGTTGACGAAAACTTGTGATAATAAATAAAGGTGTTTTTTGTAGTTTTTAGTGATGGGTATCTCCTAAATAACAGTCACCGGGAGGAAGCTTATATTTCTAAAGTAGAACGGTTTCACCAGGCACAGCGAGGTTTCCGTGTTTAAAGGAGATAATTAATTTAGATAGTTTAGAACAAGAGTAAAGTAATAATGGGAAGCTAGCGTACGAGAGGAAAAAAACACCGTGCGTATTTTAGCTCGTGCTGCGTATTTGTATGTATGTGTTTTGCGGGTGGGTGAGTTGCTGTTATTTGAAGCAAAGTCGAATAGCAAGTAACAGAAATAAAAAGCGGGAGTTTGGTAGAATTATTTTCACGGGAGAAAAAAATTACGAGCGATTAATAATTTTTATTAATAAGAGACAGTTGTAATTAATAGTGGTAGTGGTGGTAGTAGTAGTAGTAGAAGTAATAGTTGTTGTTGTTGTTGGGCTGGAAATTTTTTGAACACAAATCCAAAACTTTTTTTGATAAATGTTCGCCTATAAAAGGTTTTTTAAAGGTCTCACCAAAAAAATTTTTGGGAAAATTTCTTGGGAGCGCCTTATCTCTCCATATTGATCATTATTATTTATTATTATTATTATGATGATGATGATGATGATGATGATTATTGCGAATAAAAAATAATATTTTATTTATTGTTATTACTATTATTATTATATTAGCCACCCAATGACAAAATTATTCGGAAAGTTGTGCCTATGTATTTTATCCTGCCACCAATAAATTATATGTCAGGTGCTTATAGAGGCTCGATGATTGGACGAAAGTTTTGGCGGTTGTGATGGTTTTGATGCTGTTTTTATTATGCGGGTGCTAGAGGGTGAAAAAAAATGTTTGTGTATTCATTAATTATTATTATTGGATAGACATTTTCTTTTTTAATGTTATTGTCATTATTCCATTAGTTTTATTATTATTGACTAACCGAGCTAAGAAGTTTTGGTAGATTCTAACCGAGCGAGAAAACAAAAAGTAAAAGAGTGAGTTAATGAATGAGTGGTGTGTAATACTAGTGGAGAATAATTATTCGATATGGCACGTCAATAAAGCACGGGGCATTTTTGTACACATTTCAAAGGGGATAAATAAAGAAGCAAATAGAAAAATTTATAATAATAATGGAAAAAATGGAAAAAAATGAACACATACACGCATAAAAAAGTAAATGATATTATACTGATGATGCCATCTCACCGTTTTTCGAGAGATTTTGATTTGTGTATCATCAACATCATTCATTCACCCTTGTCTACCAAATAAGCGGCGAGCTTTTTTATTAAATCAGCTATCCGAATGGGTTTCTAGGTAAAGATGTATAGGTATTATTGTTTGTGGGTCATTGGATGGTAATATCGCGCTAAAAAATTTTTGAATAATCAAGAGGGTGTGCGTATTATCCTGATTCAAGAAAAATTTTTGGATTCGTGTAACGAGTAATTAAAGATTTTATTTAGAAATGAATAAATCAATATATCATTCATTTCATGTATTGCAAATGTATTGAAGAAGCCGCTGTCTTTTGCCGATGAATTTCCCTAAATGACGGAATTGATACGTCATATCATTGGTGAAAAAGTGATTAGAAGTCAGTGGTTTTTTTTTTAATGATCTTTTCTTTTGTTCTCATTTTATAATATTAATTTATTTATTTATCTATTTATGTTACGGAGCTTTTTGTACCAACCCAAACCACTAATGGGGCATACAGACAACGCACAGAAAATATCATCATACCAAAAATTCATATAGTAATTCATACACAGATTTTTCTCACTCTGATTACCGTTTAACATCGACATAATCACCTTAATCAAATGACCCACTTGCTTTCTTTTTCTTTAAAGAGTAAAAATTGTTATTCTATTGTGTAATGTTGTATACAACAAATAAATAAAAAAAAATAATTTCAAAACTCCGAACAGAAAATCGCAACATTTTCCCTCTCCCTATTTATTTTACCTTTCCCTAAATTTCGGATAGAACAAATTAATATTTTTTTTAAGCATTAAAAGCACCCCAAGTAATTAATGATGTATTATGCTTTGTGTTATTAAAAAGACACTCTTCCTCTTCATCATTCAAAATGTATCTTGGAAATTATTGTTTTACAGAAATAGAAAACGAGCGGAAATCCGGAATAATGGATTAAAAGTGGGAAAATTATTTAATATATTCAAGCGACGAAAGAAAAATGTATATGGTAAGAAGAAAAAGGGGACCCAGACTTTCTGTACAGGTGATTGTTCGTTACACATGTCACATTATTTATTGGAAATTAAGCTCTATTGAATTTAATCAAAGTGTATATGTGCGTGGATCATCTCTGCTATCTTATTCGTAAATGTTTAGGTTCTCTATAGTATAAACGCCCAAAATTTTTTAGGTTACACCAATGGAAATTTTTTGTCCGTTCGAATTCGTTATAAGAAAACTCAACCTTTCCTTGAGGAGACAAAGTATTTGAGAACATGGAGAAAAAGACTGCAGAAAAAGAAAATTTAGAATGTGCGCCCGCTTGACCGACTCTCCGTGTAAAAAGTTGGGTAAGAAGAGTTACTTTGAAAAATGTTTATAAAAAAAGCTTTTCCCCGATTAAAATAGTTGTTCTAGAAAATAAAAAGCTATTTGTTTGGATGTTGAGTTTCAAAATATTGATGGCGTAATATAGAGCGGATCAAATGTGTAAATTCATGTCATCCATTATCCTCTTGTGATATTTATGTGTTCATTGGAGAATAGTCAATTGTGCTTATATTGGAACGTTTGATATACAGTTTGCAACATTGACTAACTTTAAGCTTTTTACTTTTGAATTCGCTTGCGATCCCCTCCCCCCTTTTCAGTTAGCGTTCTATCTGGTCAGCAAACATGTAAACTCATCCATATATTCAAGGATTCTCTTTCGATGCCAAAATTAGCGGCAAAAATTCTATCGAAATATGCCAACTTTTCTTCTCATTAATATCCTCGTAATATTTAAAGGGATTATAGTTCCAAAGGTGAAAAATTTTCTAAAACCATCTTGCGATTTATTATCCCTAAGCATTTGTGTTCCGAGTCACATTCTATATTAAAACATTATTTATATCGCATTTAGATAGATGAGTGGTTTGAAACGGAGACAAAGTAGATTCACAGTCTCTTGTAAGTTTTCCGCAGGACATCTGTACTTGAACGAATTTGTTGCATCTGCTACAATAGAAGGCAGCAATGTCCATGGTTTTCTTGATGAAACTCCATAATATCCTCAAAATGCAGACGGCATGTACACACTTTTGATTTTATCTGTTATAATTGCGTTATCAGCACTGTCAGAGGACGCAAAGACACGAGCTATCGCAACATAATATTAAAAAGAAATACCATTTCCAGATTTCTTTGTTGAGCAACAGCAAAAGAAGAGTTCGTCCTCAGTTAGTTGCAACATGGTGACATTATCTATCATATGGTTGCAACTAGTTGTAACCATATGATAGATCTATTGATAATGTTATTGGACATATCCAGTGACTTGTGAGATGCTTAAAAAGGAACAATGAACTTTTATTTATATATACATAATGAATATATCGCATTTTAAATAAATTATTGTGCGTATTTTCCAATTAATGCTTTTTTTGAACTAGCCAATCTTACCTTGTGGTTATTTTTTATTATTTCACAATTACCAAATTAAACTTCTCAATATTAATAATTTTT